CTCTGTAGACTACCACGTGGTTGCAGGCTGTCACCAAGCGATATCTGTCGGTCAAACCGGGACGGCTCTTCAAAGCTAAGCATGCACGCTAAAGCTCCTTTTGGCAAGGTGCCTGCACATCTTTACCAGCACACATCAATGTTTGGTGGTCAGTTATTCCGTCAGAATCTGTTACGCCATTGGAGACGTAAACTTTGAGTCAAGAAGTTTCACATTCGGTCATCTTTTCGAAAGTTTGGACTGAATACTACCAACACAGGCTGAATGACTGAGCTATACTACCAGTGTTTTATACGCGCTGGAACTGGTTCAACCCTACTCCCAGTACAGTTACTAGCCAAAAGTCGTGATATTTACTTTGCTGGTTTCAGCTGCACGACCGTCGGAATAAGGTGGCCAACAAAAGGAGCAGAACCCCAGATCACAAATAGGGAGACGTGATTGTTTTGATAGTTTACAGTGGCAGAGGGCGCATAAACAGTTGAGGGAACAGTCAGCGGAGTTGCCCGTGGTCGGGTATGTTGGTCACATTTGCGCCGTTGTGTGATCAATCACGAGCTCAGCATCTGTATATGTCAACTACCTCGATCCTCAAAGAGGCGAGCGACCATTTGCAACGAGGCTTTGTAATCCGAGATGACTGGATAAAGTGCTATGTCCACACCGAATTTCCCCAAAAGTCTCTGATCCACGGGGTGAAAGTTTGCTTGCACGCAACTTAACCCTCTCGGCAGATGCCTACCGATTAACCTGATTGTCAACCGTGGTCAACTGGGCTGACGGGGAGTGATGATGAAGTAGGTTTTATCTTCAAGCCCACACACTCAGCCGGTTTTTTGCGCCTTCTCTAGTCCTGACAATTGCTCCGAATATCGAAATGGGAGAAAAACGACACGCAGGTGATGCCAACGGGACCGCCAAAAACGATAAAATCAAAAACTGATTAATTGCATGGAATATGGTCGAAACTGTGGTGAGGTCCTACGAAGCCACAACGCCAGATATTTGACAGGTCTCCCACTCTAATTCCGTTCAGCGCATGGACCAAAGATTTTCGCAAACAGACGCCACCTACCTTGAAGAAAAGTGACAAAGCAGGAACTTCAGCTGACGATATGGTGCTTGCGATATCGTGCAAAAAGTACAGAACAGCCCAAAAGGGCAATGCATCCAACGGTGCCACACACGACAATTCGACCGTCGATTCCTACGATGTCCACCGTGTGCTACACGGCAAGTTGCAGCAGGGATCCTGACTTGTGCATGAATTAGTTTCTAATGAACGTAGTCTTGCACAGCATCTTCCGCACTCCCTCCTCTTTCCCCCACCTGGACCCGGTGTCAAGACAGAGTCAAGAAGACCGGAGGCTGGGAGGGCGCATGTGGATGGCACGGTCGAGCCCACACCTTGGCGCTCCACTCCACACCCCCTTGGCCCACTCAGCAAATGACCAGGGTTTTGGCCAACAACAACAACAATGAAGAGGAGGGCGATAGGGGTCGCAATGTGCAGGACGTCTGTCGGTGACTGGGCCTGCCACCGCACCCCCAGTGTTGGCATTTGTTATGGCCTGCAATCCGATAACGCCTGCCAGAATCTGATATGGCCTCCGTGTTGGTCCAGCGCATTTACCAAGTGGCCCGTTTAGGGGACACAGAAAACTAACGCGCAGCCCGGTTGTGGGAGCCCCGGTTCAACTATGTAAACTTGTAGTGGTCCCACTCCGGGCACCTGTTGAAACACTGCGCCTTTCGCGTGTAGGTGCACGCCCGTGCCAATGGAGGTCTGGTTATCAGCCAATCATGGTTGTCCGAACGGACTAATCAACTTGAAGGCCGACTCAGGCATGCCCTGCTCAAGGAGTTGCGACAACTCTCCACTGTCGCCTGGCAAGTCACTCTCTTTGCGTCGGATGTGTGTCCTCGCCGGGCTGCCAAATTGTTCCAACCGGTTTTTCAAACTTTCTTCACAGAATACATTATCCTCTCAGCTGGCGCCCAACTCTTTCTATTCGGGACGGACCTAAATGTCGTAGTGACTAGGGATTTCCCATGACCTAAGCTGTTTCGACAGCCCTGCGAAAGAAAGTCTGTTCGTGATTCCTGTCAGTAGGAGACATCTATGGGACCATGTTCCCTATTACGTCAGATTATGGCCAAATGGGATGGTTAGGAGGCCCAATTTCTATATCCCAGCTGCCGCATCGAAGGCTTGGCCTGGTGGTATAGAAAAAAAGATCATCGATTCATTTTTCACAGTGTTTCGAGTTACGAAGAAGAAGAAGAAGACACGATCGCCGGGACAAGAGCTTTATTAGCCTGACGTTTCAGATTCCTCCTCGAATCCATCATCAGAGACAAAAGCAGATAAGAATGCTTCATGTATAATAGGTTGCAGCATATATAGGATGCAGTAGCCATGCTTCCACATACCTATGAATATTCAAGGCTCCCCCTCTCATCAAGGATCGTTGCACGTGGCGTGATGGCCGACGTTCGCGTCGTTAATTGCTGCAATTTCGTCACGTGCGTTGAATGTTGGTGTGATGATTACTCAACCATCTGATGCGCTGACCCGGGTGTTGGGAAGAGTGTTCACCTGTGCGCTCCCCGCGTGGCCAATTCCTCCGCCTAGGCGAAGTCTCAGCATCGAGTATGGAATGGGAAGATCATTGCACTTGTTAATAGACTGGAGGCCAGTAAACCATGACTCAAGCAGCTCCCGGCTCACGCGGTTGTCACCTCTTGCGAGAATTTCGGCCTCGTCAAATTTGAATATGTGACCGGAACCCGTCGAATGAGCAACAACTTGAGAGCTAGCGTCATTTCTCCGCACCGCTGCAGCGTGTTCGGTCTTCTGGTTTCTCCGACGTAGTTGCTTTGTCCGCCACTGCATCAGATCCGATAAACGACTCCAGACGTTTGTTGCCGTGGCAGTGGAGTCTGATGAAGGGGGAGGGGAGCCGTGAATATTCATAGGTATGCGGAAGCATGACTACTGCATCCTATAAATACTGCAGCCTCTTATACATGAACTATCCTTATCTGCTTTTGTCTCTGATGATGGATTCGAGCAGGAATCCGAAACGTCAGGCTAATAAAGCTCTTGCCCCGGCGATCGTGTCTTCTTTTTCAAGAGTGCTTCCTGAGACTCGTCTCTTCGCTTCTATTGGCACTGTTTCGAGTTAGTCTGATATCCGGATCAACCAGCCTAGCCCTTTTATGGAGCAGTCATATCGTCTGCCATCACAACGAATGGTTCTTATGTTAGACAGTCTCGGGATACGTGAACATGCGCAGTTTCCGCGAGACGGGGCGGCTGTTTGTTATGCCGATATCATGGTACTTCAGTGAGGTTGTCCGGGTAGGAGGGTCGACAACTTGAAGGTTCCCAAATCAGAAGGTAGGGAGAGCTGATGAGTTACAAGGTGCCCATTGCTGCATTCAGCGAGACCCGGTTCACTAAACAAGGCCAACTGGAGGAGGCGGGTGGCCGCCACACTTTCTTATGGAGCGGCTGCTCCAGGGCAGAGCGAAGCGAAGCTGGCGTCACCTTTGCCATCCAGATGGGAGATGTGGCGATGGGGACAGGTCCTTCACGAATTCACGGACGCGACCATCGTCTATCTTTACAAGCGCAAAGGAGACCTGCAACTCTGTGACAACCACAGAGGCGTCTAGCTACTCAACACCGCCGGGAATATCTTCACCCGCATCATCCTCAATCATCTCAACGGCCACCCGGAGCAAGGACCACTGCCGGAAAACCAATGTGACTTTTGACGATACCACTCGACCACCGACATTATCTTCGACGCTCGCTAGATAGGGGAGTATTGCCAGGGGATTCGGACTCACCTCTTCACCACCTTCGTGGGCTTGACGAAGGCCTTTGATGTGGTGAACCGCGAAGAACTGTGAAAATCATGCAGAAATGCGACCATCCTGAACGATTTACGTTCATGGTACGCCAGTTCCACCACTGGATGATGGCACGCATCACGGACAACGACGCAATCTCCGAGGCAATCGCAGTGACCAATGGAGTGAGACAGGCTGCGTCCTCGCGTCTATCCTTTTCAGTGTCACGTTAATTGTCATGCTGAGGGACGCCTACCATGATGAGCGTTCTGGGATAAGCATTGCCTACAGAAACTGGAGTTCATATACCAGAAAAGGCACGGGGAAATCTGAGGAACCCACTGACGAGTCGAACTCCTCGCAGCTGCGTCAGGCAGCGGCACAAGATCCGTGAAACGGATCTGGGCTTCTAACTAATACCTGTGTTGTTAATACGGTAACTAAATACACAATGCATTGGCTCATTCCCTGACGGACACTTGCGACGTCGCTCTCCCGGTGCCGGACGCGCCCTCGTCCGGCTGTTAACACTCTAACCCTTTTCTCGGTTATTCTCTACGGAATACATCATCCCCCAACTGGCGTCCGTCTTTTCTTTCGATACGGGGCCGAGCTTGAAGTTCGCACTAGCCATCTTCTCATTCGCGGCCTAAGCTTTTGCGACAGACCGTCTGGTGAGTATGGACGGCGCACGCCTACCAAAACAACTCTACGGAGATGCCGCCACGGGGGTTCGCTAACCAGACGGACCAAAACGAGGCTACATGGATATTAAAGAATTATCTGAAGCGATTGCATATCAACCCAGATACCTGAGAGAACATCGCCCAGAACAGACTGTCCTGGAGAAGAGAAGTGAAGACTAGCGCAGTAATCTACGAAGCGACCGGACTGCGGCCGCCAAAGATAAAAGGAAGGCTCGCAAGCCACAAGTGCCTCGACTCCTCAATGTTAACAGCCAGCCGCTTCCGACATGTCCGCGCCACCAACGCACATTCCGCGCTCGAATTTGCCTCGTGGAACACCTTCGGAAACAATACACCAACAACCCGGAGAAGTCAACTTCTCCTCATTCAAACACACTCACTATAACTCCCGCCGGAAACCCCGCGACGCGACCACTCCCGTAACCGGTGATCATGCTGCCGATGCTCCGCCGCCATCGAGCTCTGCCGTCATCCGCTCTGTCCAATCCCTGCGTTACTTACCGCGACCAGCTCCGCCAACATCACGACATCTCGCACTCCCCCACCGGTGGGGCAACATCTGACGTCCCACCATCTGCTACTATCACCACCAGCATCCCCACCTCCAGCGATGTGAACTCGATCCCAACCTGTCGTCATTGCGATCGCACATTGACCTCACACATTGGCCTGGTCGGTCGCTTGCGAGTCCATAGCACAGAGACTGGCGAACTGGTGCCTGGAGCACCAACATACACCAGACACATTGACTCAACTGACCGCATGGCCCGCGAGCATTCGGCCACCGCATGAGCCTAGTGGGCCACAGGCGCTTTCATGAAAACTTTCGGAAGAACACTGCTGGTCATGCCATACCATCACGTCTCCCCTTACGAGCATCAGCAGCGCACACCATCACCCATCCGCACACAACGCAAGCACAAAATCGCCACCTCTCACGTAAGTGGGAAGTGTGCTTCTCAGCTCCTCTGCTGCATGTGTGATCTGAGCCTGAGACTATCACGGTGCGCTAAGTGCCGTGGCTTGGAAAGTTGCCGACTGACGCCTCAACTGAGTCCACGCAGTCTGCCCAGTTGTGTGTTTTTGTGGAGCCTTAAGGTTCATGAGCGTCTGCTATGCCATTAGTTAGCAAACCGTGGCTCTCGCAATCTCGTGTGCGCTGGCAACTCTCTGGCATGTGGCTACCTGTCGGTAGATGCGCCTGCACACCCGCTGGGTATATCGGCTGTGTATGGTTGCCCAGTGACCTGTGTCATCCTCTCCCCTTTTGACCCGTTTTTGTTGCTGGTTAAAATCCTGGTCAAGTGTATGTTGTGGACCAAGGGTTTTGTTGGTGGTATGCGTAGATGCGGGTCCGGCCGTGCCAGCCACCCGCGTCCCCTCACACCCCTGGCCGTCTTTACTATGTTTTGACACCGAGTTCAGGTTAGGGAGGGGAGAGTAAGCAAGTCAACTAACACAATAAACTAATACACGTGCAAATCACCGTGCCTGCCCTCATCTTACTGCAGAGCACACGGTGGACATCGTCGGACGCGATGGTCAAACTTGCGCACGCGACCGGAGTTCGTCTGGCTGCGGTCAATCGACGAAGACAGATGTATCGATCGGCGTCGTACTCCAGAGGTTGAGTCACGCGCGTATGCAGACCAGAGGCGGCAGGGGTAATCAGAGGTGCCAAGACCAAAGCCTTAGACAGCGGACGGACTGATTGAAGAAGACCCTTGATTCCTTCCTTTGATGCTGTCTTAAATACAGAGCTGATAAGGATCGGTCCAAGACTGCGAAGCACTTGAAGCAGGCTATCGTCCGCTGATGGAATCTAATCACCGCAGTGGTTTGCATGGCGTTCACCAAGCAGGTTCCATGGGGATATTGTTGTGAAAATGAAACCATGAACAACATCCTGGAATTTAGTCAAAGAAATCTGTCACGAGCGTTTTGCAGTGTCACTTTCATATTTAGCAGTTCATAGAGCTGCGTGGCGTAGTGCCATGGGTGGGGCAGAAAGCATCTGGAAGTTTTCGAAGGATGCCAGGATCTAGCATGGAGACGGTGCCACTAAAGTTGGAGTCATTTGCGCTGTGGTGCCACAATACCTGGAAGTCAGAAATATGTTTCACTCGCATTCACAGTCAAGCCTGACGGTCTGCACCGTGGGTTGAACCGTAGGCCTCTGCGTATGAAATCATGGGCGTTGCTCATGATACCATGTGCCTCGCAGTTTACCAGTTTTCGTAATGTTTTCAGACCAGTCAAACGTTGGCACCATTGCTCAAAGCTTTTACTAACGTTCAGATGACCGACAGGCAAACGTTACACTTGTTGCTAGGTAAATCCAAATAATTTTCTTCTCTGGTCTAGGATCCCTTCCGCAGAATTTGTCTCCTCCACCTCTTCTTAGAGAGTACTGTTGCCTGTCTCCAATGCGGCTCGTCCAGGGGCCATCACTGCCAAGCAAGACACTGAATGCCAACTGAGGGCATGGATTTGATGGTAAAAGCTGCCGCCCTGAAATCCAGACTAAGGCGACGCTGCGGTCTAATTGACAAGCCGGTTTATGTGCGGCCATTTTCTAAAAAAAGTGTGTGTGAGCAAATGGAGGGCAACGATAGGGTTTAGGACCCCCCAAATAACTTGATTTAGTCTGTGGGCCGTGTCATACGTTGAATAGTGGTAGAGGGAGTTTTATGGGTGGGAAAACACACAAGACGGAGAGCAAGGCGACACAGAAAATAGATACATTTCTGTCGCAAGTCCTGTCGTACGCTGTCATTTGGTAGTTAAAAGTAAACGAAACGCAATTTTAAAAAATACCGAACATTGGATAAGGCGCCGTTGGTAAGTTCACACTTATTCGGGAAGGGAAGGAAACTTAAACAATGGGAACGGTGAATAATAAGTGAGATTTACAGTCACACGGGATTTTAAAGTATATTTTTGGAGCTACTGTCTACTTGGGGGTCCTACGTCCCGTCGTTACGCAAAGGAGGGCTTAACGGACTACTCAGCCTATAGGGCGGACCTATGGTACATCACCTCGCCCTCTATCCCGTTACCCCTATAAAAGTGTATATTGGCATGCGAGTTCATGGACCGAATTACGTTCGTACTAACGCTTCGGAAATTTCTTTGCTTCCACGATCAGAACGAAAAGATAGTTGTTCTCGCTGGCTCTCTTTTGTTCTTCCTCTCGCCTGCCACGTATGACTGACAGTTCGACCATCGGTTTCGATGATGTCCACCGTGTGCCCCACAGTTGCAGCAGCAATGGGAGCAGGGACGGTGACTTACGTAGGGGTTTATAGTGCCGGTAGACTTGCGTAGCATCTACCTGCACACTCTCCTCCTCCCTCGCCCGAGCCCGATGTCAAGACAGAGTCAAGAAGACCGGAGACGAGGGAGGCCGCAGGTGGATGGCTCGGACGGATCCTCACCTTGGCGTTCCACCACACCCCCTGGTCCACACAACAAATGACCAGGATTTCAACCAACACAACAGAGATTTGGAGGCTGGCACGGCCGAAGCCGCACCTGGGCGTGCCGCCAACGCCTGGTTCGGATCCCACACTGTGATGGGAGTGTCATAAAGGCCACCTTAAAAAGGCGCCATTGCAGCCTGACTCTCAGACCGCCTCCAGTCAAGGAGGAGGTCCAAGTTACCCCGTCAGTTGGCAACCTTCCAAGCCACGGCTTTTAACGCACCGTGATAGCTTCAAGCGCGTCAGATTGTTTAGTAAGGAGAAAGTGCACTGAGTCGTCGACCTCACTCTCCCTTCCCACTCCCACACCCCAGCCGCTGTCCGAGCCGGTCAGCAGACTGGAGTGGGGAATGGGCGCGGTGGTTGTCATGGTCGACTGACCATGACCGCGCGCCCCACGGCGCGACCTGGCCCCCCATACACACAACACCAGGATTTCACACAACGGGGGTTGAACGGCGTGTCTCTCACTTGCGTGAGAGTGCCATGGAAGGTGCTGTTTCAGCCCGTCCCCAGCCCACCAGTCCGCCACTCCACACAACACACACACAAAGCGACGAACTGCGTGAACCGAGAGCGGGTGTCAATCAGCAACCTTCCTATCCACGACGCTTGACGTGTCGGGATAGTCTCGGACTCAAGTCACCCCTGCAGCCGAAGCCGCGTGGGAACCGAGTCGAGATGCGGACTTGGCTAGCCTGAAGACGGCGTGGTGCCCAGCAATGGTTAGGCCACCTTTTCTAGGCCCTTCCCCTCGTGGGAGCTAGCAGTGCCATCCCTGACGAGGGCTGCCATGTGCCGTTGTGGCACGGCCGAACTCCACTATGGGGCCACGACTTCGGGTTGTAGTGGAGAGCGACTCGAATTCGCCGTAAGCCGCGGTCTCCGACTGCGTAGGTGGGCGTGCCAAGGCGATGTTGATGTGGAGATCCATCCCTTCACCGGCTGTCCAGCGGCTTGCAGAGACGAACCACGTCACGACGGTGTCGACGCAAGGTTCCATCCGACCTTCCATCCAGCGGAATCCGCAAACCCTGTGCACACGGCACAACGCACAGGGCCCCCTCACCTGGTTTAGCCCGGCGGTCGAGACGGTTGTCCGTTGAGTGCCAGCAAGTGAACGCTAGGCGTAGTCTCACCTGCAAGCAAGTGAGCGACCACCAAGACCATCACGTGAACCCACCGCTGACACCCCTACATCCCGCCTGCTGCGTATAATGACTGGCTCGACGCACGAACATTGACCTGAGCATCGGTTATTGATTGGTCCTAGTCTTCCTGTGACGGACTGTAGGTGGGCTCGTGTAACCTGGCTCCGTATCGCGACCGCAGTACTCATTGTGTGTGGTTAAAATTGATTTCATTTCCTTCCTCGCCTCATAGTGGTGAGCCTAACATGATTCGAATTGGGGACTCGGTAATTTAGTCTCTCCTACGCCAGCATATTCTGGTCCTAATAGCTTTGTGAATCGACTATGCGGTGTCATGCGCAATCTCCGCGCGGCGCCGCTTCGGGTGTCGCCGGCCAGCTTTTTCATGTCCCCGCCTAGACGCCTGCGATTTCGTTCTGTTCCGGCATGACGCTGTCCGCCGGCCGCTTCAACCTCTCTGTGGCGGGCCGCTAGGTTCTTCGAGGATCTGACAAGGTTTTTGTCATCGATCGCAACCGCAAGGCTGACACCGTCAGCATTGACCGTGTCGAACCAACCTACGTTGAGGACGGTTAACAAACTTCCCCCAACAACAGATACTGGCAAAACCTTACCCCGATTCGCCACACAAAATCTGGTCGTCACGTACACTGGCCCGACGTCAATCCCTTCACTTCGTTTGTTGTCTGGGGCAAGCTATGGAAGCCTCGCCAGTGTCCCATTTTCAGACGTCAGGCCCGCAGTCGACGTCTCGGCAGCCATGCCAACCCAAATGAATGCCGCTAATACACGGATCGGAGGCGCCCATTTTTCTGGCGCGCTGAGTCACACGCGCCACCGGCCCGTGCGTCGGCCAGCGTAGTCCGACACCCTTGACTTTTCGTGCCTCACGACCATGCAATCCCGCACTCAGCGCATGGGACCTACTAATCGCATGTCTAGCACGCAGCCAATCATTTTCTCATGCTGACACAGACATGTCAGACCCGCGCAAGCAACGCACCTCGATGCATGCGCTTTCACGCGGACGTCGTGTTCTCATCCATGACTAAACTGCCAGCTCACGGCAATCCGTCCGGTATACAGAATAAATCAGTTCCCGCAACTCTCTGACTCCTCTCATTAAATGGGAAGAGCTCATACTGTGCGGATGAAGTTA